CGTGCGATTTTTAATGAATTAGGATTGATAAACATTGTTTAAATTTACACTCAAATTCTGATGATATAAATAGACAGCAATGCTAATCAGAATGTGAGTGTAAATTTAAACAATGTTTATCAATCCTAATTCATTAAAAATCGCACGTAAAGGACAGTTTAACTGGCATCATATCATTTATCTTTCTTTTTCAATAGATCAGTCAATAGAAAATAATAAAATATTATTTTGAAGCCTTTAATTGCGTATAACATATTCGAGAAAAAGACGGCATGCCGAGTTTATCATGAAGGATACTTTATCAAAAGTGATCGATGCTTATTGAATTTCTCTAGTAGTATCATGTATTCATCTTGAAAAATCATTGAAAAAATATGCAAGTACTTTTTCATATGATCTATTTTTGTGTCGACAACAAAAGTCACTCAAAACATTTTTCGATTAACGCAAATAGGAAAAATAATAGTCAAAGCTTTGTTCAAACGGTCTATAATTCGCTACAATAATCAACGTGTCGAATACTCAAGAAAAGAAATTAAAAAAATAAAGATGTGTATATTACAAAAGTAACTTTTAAGGTGTACCAAAACGTCTATGGTTGGATGCGATCATAGAAATGTTCATAACACATAGGTATTTGACTGAAAAATATCAATCTTATCTAAGAAAATTTTGAATTAAATAATCATGTATGATTGAACATGGATAAAAGTTCTAGATAGATAAATATAATGTCTGCTTTATCACGGCGTAAGATACGTGTTGGTCTTGTTGGTTTCCGCAATTCTGGTCGTGTATTTCATGCTCCATTTTTACATACAATGTCCAATATGTATGAACTTCGTAGTGTAGTCGAACGTCATTCGAATGAAGCTGTTAAAATTTATCCACATATAAAAACTGTTCGCTCTACAACAGAATTGTTCGATGATCCTGATATTGATCTTGTTATAATAGCAACATCGAATAATTTGCATTATTCATTAAGTAAAGAAGCATTAGAAAAAGAAAAACATGTTGTAATCGAAAAACCTATGACAATACGAAGTTCTGAAGCATTGGAATTAATTGAACTTGCTAAAAAGAAAAACTCATACTTTGTCCATATCAAATACTTTGTCCATATCAAAATCGTCGATATGATTCTGGTTATCGTACAATAAAAGAAATAATTAATAGAAAATTATTAGGTGATGAAATACATGAGTGTGTAATACACTTTGATCGTTACCGACCGGAATTAAACAGTGGTAATGCATGGCGCGAACGAAATGAACCAGGTGCTGGTGCTTTTTATGATTTAGGTTCACATCTAATTGATCAAGCATTAAGTTTATTTGGACATCCACAAACAATTACAGCTGACATTCGAATACAACGATCCGTCGCTCATGTCGATGATTAGTTTGATGTTCGGCTTGATTATGGTCGTTTACGTGTTACTCTTAAAAGAAGTATGCTAATTCGAGAAATGGGGCCACGATATGTTTTACACTGTTTAAAAGGTTCATTCATAAAATATGGTGAGGATGTTCAAGCAGGTGTACTTCAGACGGGTACTATGCCACCAACCGTAGATGAACAGCTAAAAGAAAATTCTTGGGGTAAAGAACCAATAGAAGATTATGGATTTCTTCATACAGAAACCAATGATGGTCGAATCATAAAAGAAAAATTTGAAACATTAACTGGTAATTATGGACTGTTTTATGAACAATTATATGCTGCTATTGTTCATGGAAAAGAATTAGAAATTCGACCTGAAGATGGTTATAATGTTATTCGTATTATTGAACTTGGTTTACAAAGTAGTCAAGAAAAACGAACATTACAATGCAATCAACTTTTATGAATTATTATTTTAATTGAACAAACAGATTACCTCTCTAATACAAATAGTATTTAATTGATATTAAATTGAAGAATAGTCGAAATTTAAGCTTGATTTTTGAAGAAAATGTATTAATTTTTATTTAAAAATAAATAAGAATAACGTTGTTTATCAGATTTTTAAATCATCTTTTGTGAGAATTCATATTGGTCCACGTATCCATATCGACCTTCGGATTCAAAATAAGGCTGTTGTACTTCAGTGTTACTGAAGAGAAGACTCAAACACACACATTATGTATTAACAATCAACAAATCAGCAAAATTACAATTTTCAAATAGATGATTTATTAAAATGAGTCTGATCAAGCATAACATGTTAAGGAGTCAATGGAATGCGAAGTTACTTCGTTCTTTACGACCATGTCTTGTACAAACGTTACGCAACTTTGAAAAAACAGAAATTTCTCGAAAAATGAATCAGACATTATGTTTTTTCTTCTGATACTTGTGTTGTGGGGGTGTGCATGTGGGTGGGTGTGGAGTATCATTTCATATACATCAACATCCACAGTCACAACCACAACCACACACCCCCAAGCACACCGACGCTCACACCTACACCCACACTCACACTCAATATGTTATCAAGTCCATTATATATAGCAGCTATGTATATTATGTCTGTTGCATGATAGTTTCAAAGTAAGTTTAAAGCTTTTTGATAATATTCGCATGTCTAATTAAATTCTTATTGATGTGCACAATTAACTTTACATTGCCAAACAGCTTCGACAAAGAGGGAACGTTAAGGGTTAAAGTTTAATTCAATTATTTTCTTGTTGATAGCTAAGGCTTCTCTATGTTCATCCTGTAAAGATTCGAATTTCAGTGCTTCTCTTTAATAATAGACTAATATGTATTCAAACTTTTTCTGATGTTCATGCAACATAGCTAAAGAATAGTAAATTCTCTAGTCAAAATCAATATCGGATGTTGATGCAGAGCTTAATAATGATTCTTCATATAAATTCAAATAATTGTCATTAATTGCTTTTTTAGAATCTAATTTAATTGGGATTTCAGCAAATACTTCGACTAACTATTTAAACTTAGTCTTTTTTCCAATTCAGTATTACTACCTGCTGGTTCATCATACAAATTCATAATACTATCAACATGAATATGAAGAGTTCTTTTTGGTAATTTTCCTGTAATTCACTCATAAACAATTCTACGTATCTCTCACTTTTTCTTATTCATCTACCCATGAGAAACATAAGGGATCGGATCCTGTCGACTATAAATAGTCTCTGTCGGGCCATGTCGTGAGTTCATCGGATTCCCATCATCCAGATTCCAAATGTCGGATTCAATCGGATCACCACATTTTCCGACAAGGATCCGGTCGAATTTCATCGAGTTTCGTTGGATTCCGACGAAATCTGAGTCGTAATCCGGTTCATGGGATTGCTTCTTCTGGTTAATACTAATAATGCCACATCCAAAAATATATATGATATTGTTGAAAGGACTGATTTTGGGTTGTTAAAAAATTGATCTGATTCACATTGCCATGTTTGTTTCATATTGTTTAGATCTTGTTGAAATTCTTCATTTCATACAGTTAATTTTGTATTCCAAAAATTTTCGAGGTTCTTACTCGAACCGATTTTGAATATAGTACCTATGAATAAAATTACCTCACTTTCATCTTGTATTATACTGAAATACTGAATACTACCATACCGTGCCTTTGTCAAATCAATTGTTTCATCAATATAAATTGAAAATAAAATTGATTCATACTCTGGGCATTTCTTTTCTTTACCAGAAAAAAAATCGCAAGATTTTCATCTAATGCTGTACATAAAAAACATGCTTTAAGTATGTTAGAAGTAACAATAGTTATATTAGATGGTGCTGTAGTTTGTTCAATACAGATATATATATAACATATATATAACGTTATTAAAACAATAAAGAAAACTATGGACAAAACAAGAAAACAACAACATCAAATTTTACACATATGTCTGAAAAATCTGAAAATTGAAGAAGTACAAACAATGAAAATAGAATACTTCATGCTTCATTATTTATCTGAATCATCTGACTAATTTTCCAAGACCTTAGAATCGTGAATATTAGTAAAGAGGATGTGTAGGTGTGGATGTTGGTATGTTGTGAGTGCAGATGACAAAGATTAACACTTAACCACCCACATATACACCCATCAGATTCCAATTTCTCATCCTTAATTATCTTTGATGAAGTTTTATACGAAGTTACCTATTCTGGAAAACCAGCCACCTGGTATCGAAAAATATACCTGAAGTTTTACGGTAATCCAACGTTAGATTCGAATTGCTCGCATTTGAGTATCTTTAGTCAAGTCTTATCGTTTCCTGCGTTTTAGTCACTAGGGCCCTCTAGCGTACTTCGTTAGAGAAGGTACTTGTTTCTGATAGGTTGGGAACGCACTATGTTCTAATTCATTTCGACAGACAAACTAATTTTAATAATTTCTACGCTCTAAATCGTTTCTTTCAGAAAATGGAACAATTCATTGTAACAGTGCAGAAGTGTTTCGTGATAATTTCCACAATCATCACAGAGATCTACGCGCAGATCAAAGCCATCTGACGATCCTCGTAGCCCGGATGAAATCGCGAAAATAGCAGTGCTTGATATCACCCATCCTCACACCCTCAAGAAACGCGCACAGCTAGAAAACCATGTCTATGTAGCTGCTTAATAGATGACTGGTCGAAACTAGCCCACTACCGCCATCTAGATAAATAGCCAAAGCAACCATCGCTTTGATGCACACCTTGCAGTAGCTCTGAGCACATGTCAGAAAGTCTAACTGGTGGATGAACAAATAACTGTTAAGGACATTTCAATTGGCCATCTGTTGCAGTCTTCTTCATCTATTCGTAGTTGCCACTCGAAGTTTGAGAAGGAGGGAGTTTTATCAGTTGTGTTTGCATGTGATTGTGCAAGAAAGATATGCGTATTCTGAAGACGTTATTTCTTGCTTTTCTTGATACTAGAAGAAGAAATAGTAAAAAAAGGTGAGTTGCTATTGTCTCATTATAAAACAGGGAGCGTAACGCTCGAACATTTGATCCAAAATGATTGTTCACGAAGAAACTAGAACATCGATTAAGGACTCAGAAAAACATACAATAAAAAATAATGTGTCGGACGTGTCGTAAATTGCGACACGTTCTCTGAGCGTGATTCGAACTTAGTCCTCGTCACTTTTTGCTATTTATACCATTTAGAATCGGATAATTACTGTTTCCGAGCCGAGCTCATTCCGAATTGATAATATTCATATCTCTTGCTCTTAGCACCAGAACACAAGAAGACGAGATCTTGAGATCCAGCTACCTCGAGTCAACTTGATCCAGGTCGAACGCTTCGAGGAAGTTCGGTCTCTATCGTCGATCTCGCCATATTCTCGAGCAATGATTGACCAAAAATTAATCTAGAAAAAAGACATCTGAAAATGTATAAATGCAGCAATCGACTATGTCGCTTATATGTGGCTGCACGGGCAAAATCACGATGAATGACTGCTGAGTGAATACGCTACGGCACAGCCCAAAATGCGACGCATTCGACTATTACATATTTTTGTATTACAAACCACGATATTGTTGCTGGCGATACATATAGATAGAGATCAATTATACTGGTACCCCAATACTCATTTATTTTTGTCACTCCAACCGCTCATTAGAAAAATATGTTTTTTTACCAGTTGTACCCCATCTATAATGCTAATGATTTGTTATTGTTTGAGCTCTATATCTTACTAAGAATGGGGGTTATCAAGTGTTTCCTTATAATAATCGTCTGAAAGGTACTGCATATCACAGCATGGGGTGCATCAAAAAAATGCTCAACGGGGTGTGCTCTTTCATGCTATATAGGACACTTGGAGTCTGGAGGAACAAAAAGTTTGATGCACCCCGTGCTGTGATATGCAGTGCCTTTAAGACAATGATTATAAGGAAACACTTGATAACCCCCATTCTTAGTAAGATATAGAGCTCAAACAATAACAAATCATTAGCATTATAGATGGAGTACAACTGGTAAAAAAACATCTTTTTCTAATGAGCGGTTGGGATGGCAAAAATAAATAAGTATTGGGGTACCAGTCTAGTTTATCACTCCTATATATGCGACACACTTTGTATTAGTGTGCAGGATACGAGAATGAAAATGCCTTTCATTAGCGTTTATCTTGTGAAAATTTTTGCTTTCTAAAATGAATCATTCACAGTTTAAAGTTGACATCTGACAGCTCATAGTTCTAGAGCTGGTTCTTTTCTTTTTGAGAACTGGTCACCAGTTTCAGTTTTTTTCAAAAGAACTGGGTCGTTGAACCAGTTCCATTCTCTGACCTGCAACTGTTACACATCTAATTTAAAGATTTCTTCTTTCGAAACAATTGACCAGGTGACGTTTTCATTCACAGATCCATACTTAAGCTCTTGACCTCTTCTTAAAAAGTTGTGTTTGTTAAAAACTTGATTTTTGAAACCTTCTTCTCCTTTAACATAGGATCTTCGGTTAATTATATTTTATCGAGATGAAACTTTGCCCAAGTATTGAGAGCACTTAGTTATACGTAGAAAAAAGCTTTAAGTCTGCTTCCTTCTCACGTGTCGGAGCTATAACTATTTTACTGTTCATTAGCAAACATCTTGTATCCTCTTCGGTGGCCTCTCACATCTTCAAGACTATTTGATTGAATCTTCCTCATAACTGAAGACCTCTCCCTGCACTGAAAAAAATGGCCACATTACTGAACCTGAAAGGATTTTGTAGACAAAAAAAGGTTTCGTGAAGAGAAAAAAGAGTTTTGTACATTGTACGAAACCTTTAAATGTTTCGAGTTTTGCAACGAGTTTTGAACCTTTTTAGGTTTTGTATCAAACTCTGAAAGTTCTACTGAATCTTTAACAAAGACTTTTCGATCTATAACAATCATTTTGAAGGGAT